GCTACCGATAGCTAACCCAAACCATGCATGGACTTCATTTAGATGCATAAAGACAGCAACACTCGTGGCATGGGATCAAACACTACGTGTGCGTAATAATGGCATATTTCTGGCTAAAATTATGCGACAGAGCACTCACCTTTAATCCCGGCCATTTCAGACGAACATTTAATCCCCGCGACACCAGCTAATTGTTGACAATATTAGCTACAGCAACAACACACTGCATGCACTTTCGTTTCCTAAGCGAACTCGCCCAGTGCGCATGCGCGAAACCAGGCGTAATATGGCGTAGGCGTGATGGTCACATCTAAGTGTTACATTCGTATTTCTTCATTTCCACATTACTAATCAAAGTAGTGTTCTGGATGTTAAATGTGTATCCACTTTCTTGTGATTAAGATAGATTCAGCCACTGAAAATGTTTACTGCTAACACTGGGAGAGTGACTTTGACCCCAACAATATGGTTCCATGATGGGAATGGCCGCAGTCGAAGTTGGTGGAGGATCTGTCAAGATATCCACTGAACCAAGTCTGTAGTTGAAATTAGAAAGTAAATTGTCCAGGAACTTCCTGAACATTCTTTGAGACCGAACAATTTTACTAATGATACTCATAGAGACCCGGTAAAGGTGGGATTGTAGCCCTTTGTATAAAATAACATTTTCAGGAAACTGGGAACTGACACTCTCGGTACTAGTGAAGGTAGCTTCATTATTCTACTGGAGGGAAACTAGAGGGGCCTGAATAAAGGAGTATGCAACAGGCCACCCGTTTTGCAAGCATGCCAGGAGCAGGTTTAAATGGAAAGCATGTATAAATGTAAGAACATAATGTTGTGATTAATTAGTGACCAATTTAACCAGGACTCTGATCACAAAATTATTTTATGTCCCATGATGCATAGTCAAGCAGATGAGTGTTACTATAAAAAAATAATAAAAAATATATATATGGAATGTTAATAGCTCACATATGAGAATACTTAATTGCCATAAATTTAACATACAGATCCTCAGGTCCTATATAGAGTAAGCAATTTAGTATGCAAAACTCACTTGAAATAGTTTTTTTTTTTCAACATGCAATCATTAATTTGCCAAGCAGAAAAGTAATTACTCTTTACACTTGGGTGAGTTACATATCTCACAAATTAAAAATCATACATTATGTTGACACTGTTGAATATTTATGAACTAATCTTGCCCATGGATTCCCTGTGAAGTTCCCCTGACCCCATTAGCAAACCTGGCTCCAGGGTTGGCTGCCCACGACACTACACACATGTACGTTTGTAAATACAAACAGGGGCAATCAAATCATTACATGTTGACTCAGACCTTAATTGCCAATTTTGTAAATTGAAACTGTTTAACTATATGTGTTAGCACAAAAAGAAATGTCACCGCTTGTTCGATTAATAATTGTGAAAATGAGCGGAAAGAAGCTCGGTGTCCTTCGAAAACATGTTATGTAAACATGCTGCTTCCGTGATGAGACTTACTGTAGATCGCCTTCACGAAACCAAAGCCTTTTGCGGGAACTGCCACGCTTTTAGACAATTATGGAAATGAGGCCTAGTGCAGCATGAAAGCCTTTCGGATTCAGGTTGAAATTTCAGACCTCTGCTCGGCCATGGATTATTTTTCACACAGATTTGCTTCATTTCATCTGTTATGGATTAATTTCCCCCATTTCTGTTCATTACCACAATTTATTATTTATTTTGGAGACATGAAGACAGTTAGAATGGCATCTGAAATTAGATGCACGTAAAATGAAAACGAAAACTCTGTTTTTTCCAGTTAAACTTAATAGTTCATTAGATTTAATTGGGAGTAAATGGTTGCATTGTGTGCCCACATCGAAAAACACCTCAACAGGACAATGCATTTTGGAATAATATTAACAATGTACGGGGTCTGTCATGAGGAAATATACTGACGGAACCAAAGTATCCAGGTAAAATATTTCTTCTATTTGTTTTTCAATACACAGAACAGATATAATTCACATGATTGAATGCAAGGACACATCATGAATATGCAAATAACAGGTTAAATATTGGTCTACCATTATAAATTACAATTGATGACAATTTCAATCCACTTATTATGTACATATAAAATATCACAGGATTTTGAAATGATCCGAGCAAAGCAACACTGATCTCAGTCACATTGAAAATGTGTTAATTTGATATCCTCTGGTGCAAACACCAAAATGCAAGTAAATTTTAATGCAAATGTAAATTTGGCCTGAGGGAAGCGTTCAGGGCAGGGAGGTTTTTACATCTGATAAATAAATGGATGACAACCATATCCCTAGAAGGCCATTTGACTTGCCCTGACATTATTCAGATAAATATAACATTCTGTAGTTTTAAAATGGAATTGCATAGAAGTTTGAAAAATGACATTGCAGTGTGGCGAGGCTTACAGGCTTACATGTTTGTTGAAACATAGCCAAGTTAGTAAAGTTAAATATTGGTCTCCAAATCTGGTAAGAGATATTTTCCAGTCAATTGTGGCATTTACCATGGATTTACAATGGTGCAGAATTGTGCTGCCCTCATTCCAGCAGGGGGCGACATAAGCCATGCTAATAAAATACACTCCCTGTGCAGCAGATTCTCCACTAAACAGAGATGCAGACTCTACACAGTTCCATGAAAAACTACTTTACATAATTAAATTTTAAAACATTTTAGGCTGAGCAAATGACACCAATTTGTGTGATGTGCAATCAAACACGCAATCTTCAGGTGTGAGAGGTTTTCTAATCGTTACTGATTGAACATAGCTATGTACCAATGTTTGAATAACAAAATCTTACATATCCCCCAAAATTAGTTTAATTTTTGAAGAACGTTGAGGTTTTTCGATTACAAATTAACAGAAGAAAGCAGAGGCTAAATTGTTGCATCATGCTCTATGTCACCCATGGCTTGCAATCTCAAGACACATCTACTTTTCAATGAATTTGTTCTGAGATTAAATGAATGCATTTATTTGTGTGATATATTTTGCCTCACATTGATTTTAATGGCTGTAATCAGCAGGGTGCAGGACATACCCCAGCGATTGTATCACAAAACCATAAGTTATGGTTTGGAGGAAAACTAATTAATGTAATTCATCGAAGATAACCTGCCACCTCTGAGATTACTATTGATTCTTTTTTCCCATATAATTTAAAATGACTCTCTGTTTCCTTGATAGAAGTCCTTCTTAACCAAAAAAGTTAAATATATAAAATATTTGAGATTTCTATTATGAGTGTAATTAAAATATTTTTTTGGATCATGTGAACCAAGAAATATTTTTTGTAAATAACTTTATTGATTGGTGTTTCACTTCCAACTCTGTCCAGACGTTGCCAAGACTTTCTTTTTATCGAGCATTATGTTCCTCTTCAGGTGTAAGAAACATAAGAATATATACGAGATGTGGCTATTAAATAACAAGAATGGGTGTACGTAAGTTCCGACCACAGCGCACATGTGCGAACCACTTGGTAGACATTGACCAATGGGTAAACATAAACAACCCGTAAAAGTTTCAATCCTTTCGTGTCTTCAGTTCGCCATTACGCATCGCTTGATGTAGACGTGTTTATCTTTAGCATAAGTCTCATTATTTGATAACCACACCTTGTGTGTGTGTGTGTGTGTGTATATATACACATATAATATATAAAGCACAACATTTCTGCTGTTTTTAATCCACTATATGAAAAGGACAAAGTCTTACATGTCTCAGATGTCATATTGGGACAGGTAGGACAGAGTATATAAGACAGTACTGCAAAGGTACACACACACACACACACACACACACACACACACACCTCTGTGTGATAAATATTTACACGATAAGGCCCTTGAAGGGAAAAGCCGTTCAAGGCAAGATCTTTGCATGATGGAGTAGTGAGCATCACCTTTCTTTAAAAATGAGTCAATTTGGAAAGAAAATGGGGGGAAAAAATTGGTTCAACTCAGCTGGTGATTACAGTATGTGAATATCTGAGGATGACTGAATCATTGGACTGTTTCTGTTCTGGGACTGGAGCCACAATCCATCTGCCCTTGAAATGCTATCCGTTGTCCCTATACAGCACTTTCCATATTTAGTCTGCACATTGTCTTCCTAAAATCTATTTTTAATTGATCATACAAATGTATTTCTTATTAACTTTCCCCTTCTTTGAACCAAAAGAAAATAATTTCCAAATCTAGTGTAATGGAACTGACACTGGTGCAGTGAAAATTCTGATATCCTAATGAAGAAAAATGCATGTAATAGATTTGTAATGTTACCAGAAAAAAAAAATAATTTCAGTTCGAACAGATATACTCCTACAGATTGACATTCAGGCTTCATTAAATGGTGAGTCAATATTTAGAATTTACAGCTTCCCACCAGCACTGCTTACAGTTAGGCTGCTTTGTGTATCAGAAGAAATATAATATGAAAACAACATTCATATAATTAGATATTCCTGCTTACACACACACACACACACACACACACTTTCTCTCTCTCTCTCTCTCTCTCTCTCTTTCTCTGTCTCATACACAAAGACACAAACTCACATACTGGGGTCCTTGGGTTACGACGGTCTCGAGTCACAACGTTTCATGGTTACAACGCACTCCCATAAATTAATTAAAAAACCTAGTTTTCGACCTACACGGTTTGGTTCGAGCATACGACCACAGAAATAAAGATAAGAAACTGTTCTCTTTTTTTTTATAACTGTTTCATTAATTACTGTATTTTATATGTCCTTCATGTGTTGTGTGTACAGAGTGACTGACTTACAGTGTTAACTTATAGTATAAGTATAATTTAGGTATAAATTCCGACTTACGTTGAAAATCGGCTTACAACAAGTCGTAGGAACGGAACTCGTTCGTAAGTCGAGGACCCTCTGTATTTTCTTTTATAAAAGGATTTTAAACTCCTGTCCTCTCCCTGGAAAAAAAAGCTTTGTTCCCTTCCTGTCAGGGAATTGAACCCCAGTCTCCGTGTGTCGGACAGTGATACTGGCCACTATACTAACAAAACACAGCTGTGAAAACAATACTTTCCCCATCCCACCACAACTATGCTCAACACATACTGTTTTGTGGCAGGTCTTTGCTCATGGCACAATCATATCTTGCCATGAGCAAGATGTGCTCAGGGTGGTCATGTGATGAAGGCACTGCATTCTGGTTGCAGTCTTCCTGGAGATGTGGGTTTAAATCCCACTTCTTTTTTTTCCCGATTTTTTCCCAAGCCGAATGAACTTGTTGGCCTCACCGCAGCACTCGCCCTGACAGCTGCGGGAGGAGAAGTCATGCACGTGACTCCTCCGATTCACGTGACGATGCTCACTTCTTTTCACGTTGCACCACCAACTGCACGCTGCCTATGACGTCGGAGGAGGACGTAGTCAGCATACAGTCAGTTTGTGCCGCCGCAGGCGCCTATGTATGACAAGGTGCGATTGTGATGAGGCCAACGGGAGTTAGGCCGACCTACCCCGTATCGAACCCTGGCCAGGCTGGCCAATGGGACACTCTTTCATGTAGTAGACTTTGTTTGCTGAAATTTTAAGCACTGATGAGCAACAAGTCATCCCTCTCCAGGCTGACATAGCAGTTGATGGCACAGGTCATCGTGGCCGCACTTGCCAGTGATCAGACTGCTAAAATAATCGTAACAATTTCCAACCAATTCCAAACCTTAACAATGGAAATCCTAACAAGTCTGAACAATTCTAAATGGTAATCCAACCAAGTGCAAACGTTGAACTCATGAGAAGGAATCAGATGACAAATTCAAACCTGTGTGGCGGTAATATGCCTTTTTTTTTCTTCTGACGTCTTGCTAATCTAGCAAACTAACTTGTCAGTAATGCTGTGTGATTACCTGTTTTCGGTCATGTTGGTTAGGGTTTCGTTTTCTGTCCACGTACCTGTGTTTTGTGTTTCCCTGTGCTGACCACGCCTCCCTCCTTACCTGTTGAATGTTCATGTGTTTCACCTGCTCTGCTCCGCACCTGTTTCTCGTTTGCTCATTTGTATGTGTATTTATACTCTGTTTGTGTTTTAGTTTTTCGCGAGTTTGTCTCAGTGATTTATCCTGTTGCACTACAAGCCTTTGTATCTGTTCTGCCTGCTTGATTTTTGACCTGTCTTTGTTTCCCGTTTTCGAGTTTTGGGATTGTGTTTTTGTACTTTCGCCGAAGTCTGTATGATTACGACACTTGCTTGCTATTTTGACCTAGATTCCCGGACTGTGAACTTGTACTGTTGCCGTGTCTTCCCTGGTTTTCGATCCCCGCCTGTACCTGACCCCGATTTTGGATTTGAACTTGGCTTTGTTAATAAACTTCCCCTGCACTGTTTGTACACATCTGAGTCTGCTTCTGAGTCCTGACAGTACAAACTCACCAAGATGGACTCAGCGGACGGAAGCCAGATCCGCACCATTGTGGACCGGCAGGGAGCTGTTCTCGGATGGAGTCCATGGGCAAGACACTGGAATAGTTTGCCATCAGCATGAACACCCTATCCGCCCAGCTCCAGCAGCTCCAGTTAACTCAAGACGCGCCCGCAGCTCCGCCTGATCCCACTCCAGGAGTTCCTCCTCCACTGCCAGTGCGTGAACCGCGTCTCCCACCACCAGAAGTCTATGTGGTTGAATCCGTTCCTTCTTATCACAGTGCTCCTTGGTGTTCGAGCTGCAGCCCTCCACCTTCCCCGCCAATCGAGCCAAGATGACCTACATCATCACCCTCCTCACCGGGTGGGCTCGAGAATGGGGTACGGCAGGGTGGGATGCCCAGTCACCTGCCTGTGCCTCTTACGCCACCTTCGTGGAGGAGATGCGGCAGGTCTTTGACTGGTCCCGAAGTGGTAGGGAGGCCGCTAGGGAGATGCTCCAGTGCCAACAGGGAGAGGGATCTGTCTCGGACTATGCCATCGACTTCCGAACCCTGGCGGCTACTAGCGGGTGGAACAAGGAGGCCCAATATGATGCTTTTCTCCATGGACTCCCGGAAGAGATCAAGGATGAGCTCGCCGCTCATGATCTGCCCGTCTCCTTTGAGGGTCTGGTGGAAGTAGTCATCCGTATTGATCATCGCCTGACCCTGCGCCGAAGTTCCCTGACGACCCACCAGAGTCTATCCCGAGTCTGCACACCCCTCTTCCGCATCTACGACTGGACCCTCCAAGCCATCGCTCAAGAGCCCATGCAAATTGACTGTACCCGCCTGTCCCCCGCGGAGCGCCAGTAGAGGGTTCGGACTAATGCCTGCCTGTACTGTGGTGAGCCGGGGCACTTCATCACCAAGTGTCCGCTGAAGACCCAGCGCTCGCCAGATGTCAAGGGATTACAGGTGAGCATTACCCCATTACGTCAGGTTGTTAAAAATCGTTCTCTGTTCCCAGCCTCTCTCCTCATCAACGGTCAGGTCCATGCTATTTCAGTGCTAATCGACTCGGGAGCAGACGGAAATTTCATTGATTCGGGGTTTGCTGCCCAACTACACCTGCCTCGCACTCAACTACAGACTCCCCTAGATGCCCTAGCGATAACTGGAGCACCACTAATCAGAATCACCCACGTGATGCCGCCGGTGAGTCTCCTGCTGTCGGTAATCATCATGAGGAGATTGTACTGCATATTATTGACTCGCCACAAGCTCCGGTGGTCCTAGAACACCCCTGGCTCTGCCGTCACAATCCCTGAGTAGACTGGGCTAACAATAGGGTGGCCGAGTGGAGCCCTTTCTGTCTTTCTCACTGTCTCAGGGACGCCCTGGCCCCTGCCGGGTTGGCAGCTTTGAGGAAGGAGGAGTCGCCAGATATATCGAACGTTCCCTCGGAGTACCTGGATCTCAAGGAAGTGTTCAGTAAGTCCCGGGCCACCTCCCTGCCACCTCATTGACGCTACGACTGTGCCATTGACCTCCTGCCGGGTACCTCACCTCCTCGGGGCCATCTGTTTTCACTGTCCCGTCCCAAGATGGAGACAATGAACAAGTACATTCAGGAGTCGCTGGCTGCCGGCATCATACAACCCTCATCTTCACCTGCAGGAGATGGCACCCTCCGGCCCTGCATCGACTACCGGGGGTTGAATGCTATTACGATAAAGAATCGCTATCTCCTGCCTCTTATGACTTCGGCTTTTGAGTCCCTCCAGGGAGCGATGATCTTCTCCAAACTGGATCTTCGCAACGTCTACCATCTGGTTCGGATTAGGGAGGGGGACGAATGGAAGACTGCCTTTAATACACCCACTGGACACTGAATTTTTGGTTATGCCGTTTGGTCTTACTAATTCTCCTGCTGTGTTCCAGGCCCTGGTTAATGATGTTCTCCGCAACATGCCCAGTCTGTTTGTCTATGTTTATCTTGATGATATTCTCATCTTTTCCCAGTTCCACTCTGAACATTCCCACCACGTCCGGTGCGTCCAGCAAAGACTACTCAAGAACCAGCTGTTCGTCAAATTCCACAAGGACACCGTCTCCTTCCTGGGCTTCATTATCTCGGCTGGTGGCCTCCAGATGGATCAGCAGAAGGTACAGGCGGTGGTAGAGTGGCCCCGACCCTCCTCTCGGAAGGAGCTTCAACGCTTTTTGGGGTTTGCTAATTTCCACCACCGCTTTATTTGTAACTATGGCTCTGTGGCCGCTCCCCTCAGTGCTCTTACTTCCCCCATCAGTAGGTTCGTGTGGACTCCTGCAGCGGAGGAAGCATTCCAGATGCTTAAGGACAGGTTCACCTCAACGGCAATTCTCAACCAGCCGGACCCCTCACGGCAATTTGTGGTAGAGGTGGATGCGTCTGACGTGGGAGTGGGGGCGGTCCTTTCACAGATTTCTGCAGAGGATGGCAAGCTGCACCCGTGTGCATTCCTGTCCCACAGGCTTACGCCCACCGAGCGGAATTAAGACATCGGGGACTGGGCTGTAAAGTTAGCGCTAGAAGAGTGGAGGCACTGGCTGGAGTGGACGGAGACTCCGTTCTTGGTGTGGACGGACCACAAGAACCTTGAATACCTGCAGTCCGCCAAGCGTCTGAACCCCTGCCAGGCACGCTGGTCATTATTTTTTGGCCGGTTCAACTTCACCCTTTCCTACCGCCCTGGTTCCACGGCAAGGCCGACTATAGTCATGTCTTTTCTGGATTTTCAGCAAAAAGTGTTGATCTCATTTAGTCCCTTTAACATACTTTCCGACAACTTTGTCTTGCATGGTATATTAATATAACTAATAAACTGTCATGAAACGTAAAAAAATTAAATATTTCTCTGTCAACTGTGATGGTGGCTTGGGGCCGACTTGTAGATACCTTACAAGCGAGGAGTGCACCGACCACCCCCCTACCCAGTCCAGGAGCTCAAGCCAGGGAGGTCCTCAACAAAATGAAAATCAGATGAAGTCGAGGCCTACCTGACCACCTTCAAGTGGATGGCGGAGCAGGAGCTGTGGGATCCGTGAGAGTGGGCCGACATTGTAGCCCCTTTCCTAACAGGAAGGGTCCAGCAGGCATACCATGACCTGGGCACCCAGGAAGCCCGCAACTACTACAGGTTGCAGTGGGAGCTCCTCGTGAAGGCAGGGGTCTCCCCATAGACAGCAGGGCAGAACATGGCGGCCTGGGTATACCAACCGGGGGAGGGTCCACGGAGCCAGATGGCCGGCCTGGTGTGAATGGTAACACGTTGGCTCCAGCCAGACCGGCTCACTGGGCCGGAAACTGTGGAGCGGGTGGCCATGGATCAGTTCCTGTGGGGCCTACCTTACGAGAGCCAAAAGACGCTGGGACAGCAGGCCCTGCAACGCCCCGAAGAGATGTTGGAAATGGTGGAACATGCTGAAACCACGAGGGAGATGCTGTGCACCAGTTACCCCAGCTGCTCTACTGCCCGGGTTCGCCCAGGACCCACTGTAGGACCCAGCCGCCCTACAGAGAAGAGACCTGCTGGTCCTGAGGCTGCCCGTATGCCCTGGGGGATCCCTCCCTCCAGACTGTCCAGGAAGATCAGGCCCCAATGGAGCCCCG